AGCGGAATGACAAACTACAGCTCCAGAGGCGGGGCATGTCGGGCCGAATGCTAATTAGCAGCATTTTTCATCTATAAAAGCAGTCTGGCAATCAAGAGTTTTCAAAGCAACATGAAACAGCCAACAGAGCTGCAAAGAGGCTGAAGCATCTGTGCTCAATTTGGGCCGAGTTCACACAGAGAGACGTTAAGATGTGAGGTGCGTCGCGAGAAGGGGAGAAAGAGATGAGCTGCGACTGCCGGGAGTTAAGACGGCAGACGTGTTGTGTGTGTGGGTAACAGGTATGTCGCGCTACATCGAATGAAAATTTGAAAATATCTGAAGATTTCCATGGAAAAGGAAAACACAGTTGAGTTGCACCTGTCCATGGAAACATATGGAGCTGAAAAGCGTTTGTGTGAATGAAGCCTCAAAAACTGACAGGAATCATATAATATGTTCCAAACAAAAAACAGACCATGGTTACGGTCACCTGAGAGTGCAGAGCTGATCTTCTTCCAGGCGCTGTTTATAAGTGTGTAGGCCTATCGTCCGTGGGACAGATGTAAAGCTGATGTCGAGCTACAGACGTAAAACTTTTCCACATTTACCACAGACTATTTACGGAAGAAGGTACGATCTGTCAGCTGTGATTGGTTTTCCCTCGTCACATGACATGCGGTGCAAATGCTAAATTCTGCTCTAGCGTTTCAGCCCGCGTCTACTTTATAAACTATGACTTTGACGGTGTAAAAAACACGGCGTGTGTACGGCCCCTCAGACCGCCCTGAATGCTCTTCTTCAGGCACACTTCTGCAAGTGTTTACATTACGTAGCCTACACTGCTACATGTAGCTACATGCTAACATCAGGGAAACTTGGCTGCCAATGTTGTAAATTTCTCCCTGATTTCAGATCAGATTCCCACTGGAACATCTCCTGTTGTCAGGATTTTGGTGTAGAAGCTTTCATTGGTGGTTTTTCACAGCATAAAGTGCCGCTACACTGCGTTACAGTCATTCCCCAGCTGCGAGTACACAGCTACATGTAGCCACATGCTAATGTCTGGGAAACCTGTAGTCTTGTTTGCAGATGTTTATTTCTTCCTGATTTCAGATCAGATTCCTGCCGGAACATGTCCGCAATTTGCCGTTACGGTCAGTCCTCAGCTGCAATGATGATGCAGAGACTCCGAGACACTGACCAACCAGAGCAGGCTGGGCTTTTGCGGGAGGGGGGCTTCAAGAGATGGGCACTGTTTAGCACCAACAGTATGAGGAAAATAAATTGCTTTTTGAACATTAAAGCGTGTAAACATGTTGTAGAGGAAACCCAAAATGCAAGAGTAAAAGGGCACTTTTAATGAAGTGTTAATGAAAAGGATTAAAGTGATGAAGAAAAGGATAACAGCACCAAACATAAAGTTCCTGCTAATAATAATCTGGTACTTTCACTCAGGGTGACTAGCAGCAGCTGGGCAGGTAGTTTCTGTTTCCTCAGTTTTAACAGCTGCTGGCGACTGCAGCAGGTTTTTGATTTGATTGTATTAAATGTATCAAGGCTTCACGGCAGGACTCTGCAGCCACAAATTACACCGTAAACCAGAATCACAGTGAGGAGAAACTTTGCTGCTTCAGTCAGTGGAACGCTGCAAAAGATGAAGCCACGTTTGTGCACACACACACACACACTCTCTCTCACACACACACTCACACCGCTGCTGTGAGAGGCGTGTCTCAAACAGGAAACAAACTACCTGCTAAAATTAGTCCCAGAAAGAATTCTGCATTCACACACACACACGTGCGCTTAGTCGTCGTACACTCTCTCTCAAAGACAAACACACAAACGTGCTGATGGTTTCCAGTAATGTCGCTCTTAATGTCAATTAAAGAAAAAGTCTCCATCATCTTATACATGTCTGTTTCACAGCACCTCACAGTACTGCTGCTTTGGCACATATGTTTATATATGTCACCCAATTGTGTGCGTGTGTGTGTGCCTCATAGTCGTACATATCTCTTTCCCCAGGAGTAAACTGGGGTCAAACCAGTTAGTGTTGTCACGGCAATTTGCAGTTAGGCCTCTGCGTGTTTGTTTGCTTTGCACGTTTCTTTTTTTTTGTGAATTTTATGAATCTGGAGTACCTGAACATGCGTGTGTGTTTTTACTGTATGTGTGTGAATGATATGTTTGTCGGCCAGTGTTGGTGTGTATGCCCCGTGTGTGTGTGTGTGTGTGTGTGTGTAACACAGTAAGCTGCCCTCAGGCTGATATATATTCTTTTCACTCAAACAGCCCATTTACAGTTCTGGGGTCGGCTCCCTCTCGCTCTGCCGTGACCCGGACCGTTTAGAGGTCAGCGTCAAAGCTGAACCCAGGTCAGCTCGCTAACTGACTCCAGCTCTGGTCCTCTGGGGGTTTACTGACAGCCAGGTTGCTCAAACTGTGGAGTAGGGGCCAAAAATGGGCTGTGCGGCTTCTTTTAGTTGGTCCTAGTGGGGAAAAGGGGGTTTCTGGATCGTCTGTAGCAAAGACGTTTGAATTTCCAAAGCATACTTTGTGATTTTTGGCATCCGCTGCTCGGCACTCTTTGCTGTGATGCCGCTGTGCTCCGACTTCTCGAGATCGGCTGTAAATATTGGCGCCGTCTTGCTTGGATTTTATGTAGATTCAGGTAGAGTTCCTTCCTGTTGTCTTCTCCTTTTAAGCCAAAGGACTGATCGCTGTTTGTTCTTATTACCCGTTTAGTTCTTCTTCCTCTTCTTATTCCAACTGAGCCGGAAACCTCAAACACATGACTTCCTATTAAACACTGATGGCACTGATTCACAAAAGGATTGCGCAGCTTTCGCGTCCACTAAACCAGCACAAATGAGACAAAAAGAAACCATGTGATTCTCAATGCACCCCTATTTTGCCAAGCAAATAACGTCTCAGTGCTCCTGTGCTATCGGCACGTTCTTAATTAGGTATAATACGCATACATTTGGCACAAAATTGGCCTCTTTTTATATCAGCGCTAACAGCCACACGCAGTTACAATAAAATTATTAGCATCTGAACGAGAATATCACTTTTCTTTTCCTCTCTGCCATTGCACTGCTGCCAAGACAACATTTATTCTTTGCTACATGGATAACTACGATCCGATGCAAAAATGTATGACCCTGTTTGAACGTTAATGTCATTAGCACTCTACCTTTTGTGAATCGGACCTTGAGACGGGGCAGATAGTGGTTGCAAGTGATGTGCAATTCATGCTGCTATTAGCGGCCACAATCTGTTCTTCGTGATTTCTCCTGAATGTTTAGAAAGGCAAAAAGAAGCGCTTTTATGAAATGGAGATTGATTCAATAACTGGGATTAAAATTAGAAGAATTTACCAAACCAGTTTAAGAAAGCTTGGGTTCTGGGGTGAATTAATGTAAGTGATTGTAAAAACGTTTCTGGAATCAAAAAGGGGCTCCAGAAAGTGTTCAAATAAAATGATCTGAGAAGGAATGACCACATTACCGTTTAGATTTAGTTTCATTTGCAAGCCCCCGAAAAAACTGCTGGGATCCATCCATGTAAAGGAAAGGAGGGGTCTGTTAATGGAAGATAATAGTCAATACCATCAGGCAGTAACTAAAAAAGATGAACTGGGGCTGATCCTTGAGAAAGTACATCGAGATCTTTTTACATGTCTTCATTCTGGTCCTTCTGGATGAGAAATTTCATTTACTGTACTTGAAGCCTGAGCTGAAAATGTTTTGAAAACCTTTGACCTCGACGATTCATTGGTTGATGTTAAAGCTAACTCAGATCACATCCTAAAGGCATCCCGAATCAGATTTCATTGAATTAACCTGGTGTATACGGACTTCTTAAACATCTGCAGTCTGCTACCTTCAGTGTATAAGTTTACTTTTGCTCTGGGAGCCGGGATGATGGAAACATCAGTAACTTTTAGCATGTGGGGACCCACCAGAAATGCTCTGTTTGGGCCCCAAACCACAGAGAGAAAAAATACTTACTCAGAGCTTTTAGAGGTGAAGATCAAAGCTGGAGTGAAGGTCAGATCCTAAAGGCTGTTTTAAATTAATAGCAAGCGTAAAAATCAGTCGTAAGAATCGCTGAAGAGCTTAAAACTGGAAAGGTCTGGTTTGCAAAATACCATCCGCGTCTTTTGGCAGCTTGTAGAGAAAGTTTTGTTAATGATGTGATGGTGAGGACGAGGAGAATGATGACGACGCCAAGAAAGATGATGATTGTCGCAACTTTACAAAGTATCCTTAAAAGGTAAAGAAAGCTGGCGATGTGGTATTTCTATCTTCAGCTTTTCGACCCCAGCTGGCCTAAAAGATTGATATTTAAGTGTCCCTTATCAAATTTCTGAAAGCCCATTCTGCTTTTCGTTTGCTTAGAGGCAAACTGAGTATATAAAAAAGTGGAGCTCAAGTGAGAATAACAAGAAATGTAACAGAAATCAGAAGTAGGAGATGAGGGGGATCTCCATCAACCAAAGGGATAGGTAAAGTCAGCTAAACAGGGTGGAGTGTTTGGGGATTTCCTGTCACCTCTTATCACTGTATGTCTCTACTGGTAAAGGGAAATTCCACCTTTTAGCAAAATTCACACCATTGCCTCAGCAGTCGTGCTCTACCCAAGCATCCTTTAAAACTATATGTTCTTTCTTGCTTTCGTCAGGCTTCGAAGTTTTAAGTGTCCCTACCTTCTTCCTGTGTGAATAGAAACCTTTATGAGGTGAACATGTAGCAGGAAATACAGTAAACGATATCTATGTCATTGAAATTAAATAAAACATTGGGTGATCTGGGAATGAAAAAGCATCAGGTAATCAGATCAGATCAGATCAAGCAACCCTTGAGGGTCAGGTCCCAACTGATGATCCTCCACATGGAAAAGGTCTTAGAATAGTTCGTCAAACTCTTGTTTCTTGAGAGTCCATATTTTTTGTTAAGATTTCTAGAGCTCTAAGATTGATCTTCATGTCTCCTCTCTGCCTCTTTGTCTAGGGTTCGGGCTTCCACGCGTCACGGAGGCAGAAGTACGGCAACGTGTTCAAGACCCACCTTCTGGGCCGCCCTCTGATCCGAGTGACGGGCGCCGAAAACGTGCGCAAGGTGCTGATGGGCGAGCACACGCTGGTGACGGTAGACTGGCCTCAGAGCACTTCAACGCTGCTGGGACCCAACTCACTGGCCAACAGCATCGGAGACATCCACCGCAAGAGGAGGAAGGTCAGGAGATACACACCCAAATATACGAATGCACGACCATGCACATTCGGAGATCAGGGCAAGGTCTTTAAAGGGCTTCACAATCACAAAAAGTTTGAGTGTGGCCCATGAACTAAAATGAGTCTGACACCCCTGGTCTAGTGGTAAAGAACTTTTTATTTCACGTCTGAAAGAAGCGATATATCGTAGAGTTTCGACACATATTCGAACACACATATGCGCTTGAAAGAATCCACTGTCAGAAGCACTGGACTCATGTGCTGCACAATGAGGAAGGTAGGACACATTCTTCCAGACACACACAAACAGAACGACAGAGTATCAGTGTAAAGCTATCCCGTCCTCTCAGTCTTATCAGCAGCGTTCTGGCTACTGAAGCGTGAGAACGACCCCTCCATAACTCCGTCCTCTCCTCCACTCATCTACATGAAGAGAAAGGGATTCCAGTCACCCGCCTGTCCTCTATTACTTGTTTTCCTGTCCTTCCTCATCTTCTCTTCTTATTTTGTCTGATTTCTTGTGTATTCTGACTATCACATATATATCTCTGTCTCTTTTTCATTTCTCAGCCTCTTTCTCATCTCCTGTCTGTCTTTGCTTCCTCCCTTCTCTCTCTCTTTCCGTGCCAGGACCATTCAGGTAATCAGCCACTTACCTCTCCCTCCTATTATCCCGTTATCCCCAGGGCACATACCTTCCCTCTCTTTTGCCCCCCCTCTTTCTCTCACACACACACATGTGATGCGCACACACACAAAGTCACAGATAAACACACGCATACACACAAAGGACAAAAAACGAGATGAACAGGAAGCTCAGTCTGGTGTTTTTTCCTGTAAATCAGTCTCTAGTTTGCTCTTTTTTTGAGAGAGAGAGAGAGAGAGAGGTTTGGAGGCGGGGTCAGGTTTCGTTGCCGCGGTGCCCGGGGACAGTGAGGGGTCGGCTGGGTCTAATCTGGGCTCTGATCCCCTCTCCTCTCCCTGGAGACCCCCGCACTAACCTCATGTAATGACCCCTGATTAGGAAGGCTGCCTCCAACACGGCACAAAGAGGGGCTTTCTGTGGGGGGCTCCACACACACACACACACACACACACACACACACACACACACGTAACAGTACACAAACGCATAGTATGTGCACACACCTGAACATTCCCCAGCTCTCAACCCAAACAGCCAGATGCAGAGACGGATACAGGGTCGGTAATGTTGCTTATGGCTGAAACGTTTGAGCCTCATGTGGCTGAGCAACCACACTGCCGAAATACCTTTGAGCAAGACAAGCAATCTCATACCTGCTGCCATTCTGTCTCTCTGTCTGTCTGTCTGACCTTTGAGGAAAGAAGTTTTCCCTACAGAGGTCAAGTGATGACGGGTCACATCAGAGTTTGACTGTACTGGCTCTAACATAAACTGTACCTCAACCTCCATCCAGTTAAAACAACCAATCGCCAGAGAAAAATGTTGGCATTGTGCGTTCCTGCAAACCACCGATATGTTAAATTTTTCTGTTATTACGTAGCAAATACGTTGAAATGTTACGCTTCTTTACATTTCAACAACACTGTGGTACGTGTGGTTAGGTTAAGGCATAAATACACTTGGTTATGGTTGGAAAAGATTATGTCTGGGGGCACGATGCTGGCAGGAAAAGCAGCGACATCTCGGCAAAAAAACAACACTTTTCGTGACACTATCCCCGTTGATAGGTTGCTATGAAACACCCACATTTGGTGGCTAAAAAGCAGCTGGAAACACAGCAACACCTCGCAAGATCACAACAGTTTTGTTGTTTATTAGTGTCAAACAGTGGTCTGCAACTTGGCAGGTGTCTCCCCTTAGGTGTCACGCCATCCACCATCCCCTCCACCTGTCCAAGACAAAGTCAGGCCATATACTACGTCCCTTTAGAAATGTTGATATGATACGTTTGAAAGATTTAATGTAACATAAGTGAAACTTGCAGGAACAGAAAAATTGAGTTCTCTCACGTGGTGGCCGTTTGACCTTCTGACTGTTGCATCGTTTTGATAACAAGAGGGACAACCGATAGACAGATGAGGAGGAAGTTGAGAGAAAGAAAGAAGGGCAGAGAGGTCAGCTGGGCAGTTTTCAAGAATTATGTAGTGTGTGTGTGTGTGTGTGTGTGTGTGTGTGTGTGTGTGTGTGTGTGTGTGTGTGTGCGTGTGTGGGTTGGCAGCGCTCCCTCCTGTTTTCTGGGTAATAAAACTAAGTCAACAGCAAAAGCGAAACAACATCAACTAGAGAGAAAGAATGAGCAACTGGCTTACTGTCTGACCCACTGGACCAGAACTGCTCCTCTGTGTGTGTGTGTGTGTGTGTGTGTGTCTGGGTGTGTGTTAGTGTCTGCCCTCCTTGTGGTTTTTGTACGGAAAAACAATCTTCACACAGCACATTAGCCTTTCGGTGGATCAACACAGCCAGCCAGTTTCCATCTAACCCCGTGTTAAGCTAGGAAACTAACTCCCTCAAAGAGCCACAGCGGCCTGGTTTTCCACTACAGGCCGGTCAGGGCCAAACGGGGCCAGCCAGGGCTCACACATCATCCTCGTCTGGAAAACAACATCAAACATACGCATTTCTGCTGTGGACAGACAGTTTATCACCTCAGTTGCCATATCGAGGCTGTGGTCTTAACCTGTGCACAGTCTTGTGGATAGTCAGGAGAAGTAGTTCAGTGTTTTGACCCACCCCCACAAGGCAAACATCACACATACTTGGATACGTGTTATTTGACTATATTAATCTCTATAAACAGCTGTCTGCATCTGTAGGCAATGGGACAAGATTTTGGTATCGGACATGTTCTGGTTTCCGTTTGTAGTCCCAGTAGAATTCGTCAATGACGTTTGTGATGCATTGGCTGAAATGTAGTCTCAGATCCTGACAGCTATCATCCAACGCCCAATTAGCTTTAAATGAACTTTACAAATGTATATACATTCATAGACATCCATTCATTGTCATCCGCTGATCCGTGGCCGGGTTGCGGGGGCAGCAGGCCAAGCAAAGCACCCTAGACGTCCCTCTTCCTAGCAACCCTTTCCAGCTCCTCCTGGGGTTCTGGGTCTGGCCCGGGGCCTCCTACCAGTTGGACGTGCCCGGAACACCTCTAACGGGAGGTGCCCAGGAGGCATCCTGATCAGATGCCTGAACCATCTCAACTGACCCCTTTCGGCACAAAGGAGCAGCAGCTCTACTCCGAACTCCCTCCGGATGACCCTATCTCTAAGGCTGAGCCCAGACACCCCCCTGCTCGGCGTATGGAAGAGGAGGTCTCGGATATCCTTTGGAATATTGGCCCTGGACTGACAGCCCAGAGTCCTGAGATTAGGACGATACGAAACCGACATGAACTCAAAAATTACATTTAGTTATCCCAGGTGTTTGCGTTCCAACATTGCTCTTGCACGCCGTAAAGTTTTTACAACAGCTGGACAGTAAAGGTGTTTCTGAAAATAGGCTTCACCTGCTGTAAATATATCAAATGTGGGATTTGAACCGATTAAGATTCAATACGTTTCCTCATAAAAGACCTTACGCTGACCTTGTGACGGACTGAACTGCGACCATTTTGCTGTGAGGTGACAGTTCTTAAGAGTTCCGCGTGCAAATGACAAAAAAAACTAAGTAAATTTGACCTCACGTTCCCTCGGCTGCTCAAAAAAAGCACAATATATAATTTCTGTAGCTGTCCCAACAACGTAACCTGACAACACACACAGTAAGTGTGCTGTAGTAAACACGCTGAAGTGGCCTCAGTAAGCCCTACATGACCTGCAGTGGAAAAATGTCCCTTTATACTGAAATAACAGCAGGTGAATCCAAGTTGGGCGCATACACACACATGCAAATACACACAGTGTTGACAGTGGCAGCCAGTTCTTTATTTTCACCCTTCTTACATACCTCTCGCTCTCTGTTCCTCCACTGCTTTAACTCCCTCATTCTCTCCCTCTCTCCGTCCCTCTCCACATTTTCCTCTCCCCTTGTTTTTCCTTTATTTTTTTGGAAACCATCCCTCCATCCCTAAATATAGGAAAAGGAGAAACACAGGCGGGGAACACGGAGGGTGAGATTGGACGGGAATAAAAAAAGACATGTGGAGGGATTCGAATTGACATCTGCCTCAATTTAAGTGTCACTTTTAAAGCTGACATCTTCAAGCTGCTTTCTTTCCGTGTGTTTTACACGCAGGCCAGTTTTCCTCTCCCTTAAGGTGCCATCAGTGTGGTAGAGCATGTCAAAGCTACTCTGAGAAAGAGATGTAGTGAAACCAGTCTGCTGCTCCGCATGCAGCCCTCCTGGCTGTCTCGGTGTGTGTGTGTGTGTGTGTGTGATGGTGAGTCTGTGTCCTGTGCTTCTGCTCATCACCAGTAGAGGGCACTGCCAATTCTGACTGAGCTGAAGCCCATCCTCTCCATCCCCTCTTAGCCTCACTCAGTTTTTATCAGCCTCTAAGGTCAAATTTAAAAGAAAGGAAATATGAATAGTGAGGTTTTTTCTACAGGGAGGTGAACATAGACCCAAAGCCATGTTCACTGTATCACTGTTGTCTTAAGAAACCTGAGAGGATTGTTATCAGAGCCAGAAATACTTTATTGATCCCTGAGGGGGCAATGGATCCTGTTACAGTCACTCTTACATCTAAGCTTAGAGAAACTGTAAGGAATAAGAAGTATGTAAAGGTATGTGCGTTATGCTTCAATACATTCACTGGCCACTTTATTAGGTACACCTTGCCAGACGGGCTGGTCTGAGTATGTACTGGGATTTTCACACACAACCATCTCTAGGGTTTACAGAGGATGGTCCCAAAAAGAGAAAATATCCAGTGAGCCAAAATGCCTTGTTGATGCCAGAGGTCAGAGGAGAATGGCCAGACTGGTTCACAATGATAGAAAGGCAACAGGAAGTCAAATAACCACTGGTTACAACCAAGGTCTGCAGAAAAGCAACAACACCTTGTCCAACCT